AGATAGGGAAAGAGAGAAAGAGGGAGTGATAGAGAGGGCAAGAGAGAGAGAGAAAGGGGGAGTGATAGAGAGGGCAAGAGAGAGAGAGAAAGGGAAGGAGAGGTAGAGAGGGAAAGAGAGAAAGAGAAAGAAGGAGTGATAGAGAGGAAAAGAGAGAGAGAAAGGGAAGGGGAGAGAGAGAGAGAGAGGGGGAAAGAGAAAGAGAGAGCGAGGAGGAAAGAGAGAGAAACATAGAAGATCGGAGCAGCAGGAGGCCATTTGGCCCTTCGAGCATGCTCCACCATTCTTCGCGATCATAGCTGATCATCCAACTCAATAATCCAATCCCGCTTTCTCTCCATAACCTTTGATCCCATTCGCCGCGAGTGCTATATCTAGCTGCCTCTTGAATACATTCAGTGTTTCAGCATCAACTCCTTCCTTTGGTAATGTATTCCACAGGCTCACCACTCTTTGGGTGAAGAAATGTCTCCTCACCTCCATCCTAAATAGTCTACCCCGAATCCTCATACTGTAACCCCTGTTTCTGCACACACCCACCATGGGGAACATCCTTCCTGCACCTAACCCATCCAGTCCTGTTAGAATTCTACACATCTCTAGGAGATCCCCCCTGAACTCCAGCGAAAACAATCCTAACCTGGTCATTCTCTTCTCATACATCAGACCCACCATCCCCGGCATCAGCTTGGTAAAACTTTGTTGCAATCCCTCGAGAGCAGGGGTTAGAGAGAGAGGGAGGGAGAGAGAGAGAGGGAAAGAGAGAGGGGGAGGGGGTGGAAGAGAGGGGGATAGAGGGAGGGAGGGAGTGATAGAGCAAGACAGAGATTGGGAAAGGTGGACAGAAAGAGAGAGAGCGGGAAAGAGATAGAGAGGGAGGGAGTGATAGAGCAAGGCAGCGACTGGGAAAGATGGACAGAAAGAGAGAGGGGGGAAAGAGATAGAGCGAGGCAGCGATTGGAAAAGATGGACAGAAAGAGAGAGGGGGGAAAGAGATAGAGCAAGGCAGCGATTGGAAAAGATGGACAGAAAGAGAGAGGGAGGGAGGAAGGTAGAGAGAGGGAGACAGAGAGAGAGTGAGAGGGAGTGGTAGAGAGAGAGAAACATGCCAGAAAAGACAGAGAGAGAGGGAGTGTGAGGATGTGAGACAGAGAGAGCAACTCACTGGGAAAGACAAAGAGAGACAGACATGAAGGAAAGAGAGATGGGGAGAGAGAAAGATGAACAGAGAGAGACAGAGAGAGAGGGGGGGACATGTCCATGGGATGATAGAGATAGACACAGAGAGCTACACAGAAAGAGAGAGAGAGATGCACGCAGAGAGAACACAGAAACACAGTGTGACACAGAGGACGTCAGAGGGAGAGCCAGACCCCCTCACACACAGACAAAATGAGGGCTAGAGAGAGA